CCGGGACTTGCCGGCGGTGCCTCTGAGGGCTCGCAGCTGTAACTCCAACGCGCTGGAACCGACTCCTGCGAACCGGCTCCCTCTTCGAGACATTCCCCCTGGTCCCGGACGCGGTCTCCCGGAGCGGGGGTGCCTGGGGACCAGGTGACTGTCCCCAGCGTTCGGGGCAGGCCCGGGGGAGCCGGCTTGGCGGGCAGCACCAGTCCGACGGCCGCTTTCGCCACCAGATAGATCATCTGGAGAGGGAACACCACCAGCGCGCCCAGCCATTTCCACACCATCCTCCGCGCCGCGGAGCCGGGCAGGGCGGGGGGCGAAACTCCCCGAGCCGGACAAAACAGGAATCGAAAAAGAAAACACCTCCAAACAATAATAAATACACGGAATGAGGGGCCGAGAGGCGTCCCACCTGGCCACTCTGGAAACCACCTCTTCCCAAGTGCAAGGCACCGGGTGAGAAAAAGAGAAAGAAAAAAAAAGAAAAGGAAAAAGAGAAATCCTCTTGGGGAGGAGAAAAAGCGTCTCCGAAGGTTGGGACAGTGAGAGGGGTGGAGGGGAAGCCGGAGGTGGGAAGTTCTAACAAGAAGTTTCTTGCCCCGGCCGCCGCTTCGGCTGGGGAATTCGCAGGTAATGTTTACAGGCTGACAGAGGAGTTTAGGCAGGGGAAGGGGGGGAAAAGGGCACCAACCACACGCGCGTACCCTGCTGCAGGCCCGCGGTTTCAAAGTGCAAGATGAAAAAAAAAAAAAAAAGCGCTGTTTCCAAATTGTAGCGCTTCCCCACCCCTTCTCCAGGAAAAAAAAAAAAAGTGGGGGGAAAAGTGCTTGGAGCTCCCAATTTCAGCCCGCGAAAGTCTCCCGACTCATTGCTATTCTTGGGCTCAGGAAATTGCTTAAACGCGCTCTGATTGCCAGCAACGTGCAGCAGAAGTGGGGGGTCCGGGTGTCAGTTTCTTTACGTGCATGGCTCGCCCTGGCGCGCGCTCGCTCGCTCTCTCCGGCTCCCTCCCTCTGTCTTCCAGCCGCGGCTGGGAGTTGCCGCCCGATCCGGCTGCCTTTCTCTCCCTCGTTAGCATTTATTGCCTTCTTTTTGTCCTTCCCAACTTGGAGAGGGCCCGGGTGCGGAGCGCGCGTGGGTCGGACACCCGGGTCTGCGCCGCCTTATTCATTCGCTCCCGGGGCGGCAGCGGCGCGGAACTAGAAGGCGGCCGTTTTTCCCCCCCATTTTTTTTTTTAATACCCCATTAAGTCTGATTGACAGTTAAAGTTGGTCGGAGGCTTCACTCCCGTTCCTCTGACTGGCTGCCGCG